CGAATTCCTCCAGCTAGGTCCCCCCTCCTAAGAGCCATTCAGCTAATAAACTCATCAGTGGGTTAATCTATTGATGAGGTCAGCAATCTCATGATCCAGTCATCTCTCTGGGTCTCATCTCTGGACCCTGCCTCATGAGTCTTTGGGGGACACTTCATGTTGAAACCGTAACACGTCTCCAGGTTGTGTGCATGGTCAATGGAACAGAATGTAGATGTAGTGGCATTTCCTTGAGTATCTCCGAATGGCTGTGATTGGCCACCAGGGGGTGCAACTGTATCAAAGACTAAGTAAGGACAAAGGAGGCCTCTCTGGGGGAGCTGAAGTGTGGAGGTGGGGCTGCCAGCTGAGGTCGTGAGGTGTTCCCCCCACCAGATTCAAAGGTAAAGCCTGAGGGGGTTTTCTGGTCAACCCTGAGACGTCTGTTGATGGTCTCCAGCAGGGGGCAATGGGAAACAGCCAGGAAGTAGATGGTTGTGTAGCATAGTGAGCCCCCTGGGTTTTGGTGGGCCTCACACAGCTGAGAGGGGTCCGAGAAGGGAATCCCAGTGACAAAGAAAAGGCTGCATGGGGTAGGGGTGTCTGGGCTGGTCTTGGGTCTCTCCAAGGTTAGGGCGAAGTGTGTGCCAGGCATCGCAGTCCCTCCCCAGGTCAGGGGTGAAAGCAGGGGCGCCCTCTGCAGTGAGGCAGCAGGAATGTACCTAAGGGCGTTGTTCAGGGATTCCAGGAGCCTGGGATGGGCAGGTGTGGAGGGGGTAGGATGTAGCTCAGTGGCACCGCACCAGACTGGCAAGCACAAGGTCCCGAGTTTAATCCCTGGTACAAAAAAAAAAAAAAAAAAAAAAAAAAACAAAATCATGAATTTCCGCCAGCTGCCCCCCATAAGTCTTCAACTGAGGAACAGGACATGCCTTCCCAGCATCCCAGAACCCCTGGGCAGCTGCTGACCTGGCATCTCACAGCCCTACTCTTGTGCCCTGGCTTCTCTCAGTGCTGTGTTAGCATCACCCATAGCATTGTACTTCACATAGTTTGTTCAGCAGGACCCCATACTGCTCTGTGTGTACTCCACGGTCCTTTTGTGGAATGGTTGGTATTTAGATGGGTTCCAGTTTGGAAACCATGAAAAGTGCAGCTGGGAACCTCCCTGCTCTTTGCCTGTTGAGGAATGGGATGAGGCCTGCTCCCTCCTCTCAGAAGTGGGGTTCATGCTTCCCTGACAGGACCGGCACGTGGATTGTGAAAGCTGTTTGCCCAGGGCTCAGCATGAAGCAAGGGGCGGAAATGGCAACAGGAAAGTGTACCTTCCCCTCATATCTTAACTTTCTGGGACATGGGCAAGCTGGCCTCTGACAGGCAGAGGGTGAGGTGCTGGTGCCCAGCTGGTTGGGTAATCCCTGTGCATCCACTGTGCCAGCACTAACATTCATGCTCAGCAGAACGGGGACAGGACCCGAGCCGCTAAGCCCTACTGGTAAGCTGTGCTGCAGGAGGCGGGGCTGGGGGATTAGAACTCTCTGAGAATGCCAGCGGCACCTGCCATAGCTGCCTTGAAGCCTGGAGTCTGGGTTCCCTGGTTGCTGCGTCTGTGGATGGGCCCCCGGGGACATCGCTCTGTGGTGGGGAGCTGAGGCCTCGCTCCAAAATCCTGGTAAGTGACCTCCAGTCCCGGCTGTCAGCCATGAGCTTTGTGAGTGTCTTTGAGGACAGAGGGAGGGAGGAGGGTGGGGGGAGACCCCCCTAGGGACTGTGAAGGACCTGGGAAGCTGCAGGGTGTCAGGGCAGATGAGGGGTCCATGTGGGCCCATCCTGTGAGCTGAGAGAGGGGCAGGCAGTGTCTTGTGCACGTCCCATGCTTCTCTCCGCTGCCCCTGGCCTCTCTATCCAAGCCCATGTTCCATCTTGTGTGCACATGGCTCAGTCTCAAGCCACCTAGACTCCTGAACAGCCCATTTTCATTTTTTCTTTCTTTCTTTTGCTGTACCAGGGGTTGAACCCAGGCCTTTACACTGAGCTATATCTCCAGCCCTTAAAAAATTGTTTTTATTAAGACATGCTTGCTACATTGTCCAGGCTGGCCTTGAACTTATGATCCGCTTGCCTCAGCTTTCCAGGGTGCTGGGATTACAGGCGTGCACTACCACATCCAGCTGTTAGGGCCCACTTTGATTAAGGGGCTTTCCTCCCAGGACTGAGGACTGAGGCTCCCTAAAAAGCTCCAAGCCATACTGTTTTGTACCCAAAGGACCATAAGTCTCTCTCTGGGCAGGTAAGAAAAGCCCCTTGAACAGCAGTGTGGGAGGCCTGGGCACCTGCCCACGCTGCAGTTGCAGCAGAAAGGGTCATGGAGGCTCGTGTGGTATTGGGGTGCCTCAGGCACCATCAAACCCCGTCCTTCCCCGCCACTACCTCCCGAGGCTCAGGAAGGCAGAGGTTGAGTCGGGAGGTCTGGAGGGGTCACTCTGAGAATTCTGACCCAGGAGCAAGTGGGGAGAGGCAGCAGCCATGTCTGGGGTTCCCGGAAGCTGACCTGGAGAAAGTGTCATCTCTTTGGGGGTCGGCCCCACCTAGGTGCCTCTGCCTCTCCTCCCTAGAGATGATCAGATCTGTCCCTCGCACGTGTCCCACAGGGGCAGGGGCCTCCTTGTGAGAAGGCCTTCAGAAGCTGGGACACCACCGGAAGGCATCAGCAGCCAGGATGTCCACTCCGAGCATCCTCGCCCTGAAACCCAAGGCCCTGAGCCTGTCACCTGGGATCTCAGAGTCCCCAGGCTGCCAGCGGCGCCACACGCTCCCTGCCAGTGAGTTCCGCTGCCTCACCCCAGAAGATGCGGTCAGTGTGTTTGAGATCGAGCGTGAAGGTGAGCAGCTCTGCCCAGGCACTGGTGTGAAGCCAGCCAGGAGTCTTCTGAGTCTCCTGCCCTTCAGAGCTGGGTGTAAACTGAAGGATCAGATCATGTGTGCACTCACGAAAGTGGGGTCACAACTGCCGAGTCACCCGTCTTCTGGTGTGGGAGGTGCATCTGAGTGGCCACTCGCTATGCAGTGCCCACTGAGCCAGCCACCCTCGCCTCCTGCCACAGCCTTTATCTCCGTCTCCGGCGCCTGTCCCCTGGACCTGGATGAGATCCGGCACTTCCTGACTCTGTGTCCTGAGCTGTCCCTGGGCTGGTTTGAGGAGGGCCGTCTTGTGGCCTTCGTCATTGGCTCCCTTTGGGATAAGGAGAGACTCACTCAGGTGAGTGGGGCCGTGACGCTTCTGGAAGACAGCTTGGGCAGGCACTGGGCAGAGAGTGGGCAGAGAGCACCAGGGCTGGGATTTCTTCTCCCAGATCCAGAGATGAGCACAGGCCATTGATCCCTCCCAGGGCGTGACTAGCCCTACTTATTGGGGTCTTGCAGAACTTCCGGTTTCCTCCACGGGGCTAGTGGCATAGCTCCCAATTTAGGGTCCTTCTCAGGTGGGAAGGGATCCCCTTAAGAGGCACTGCCCACGGCCTGGGTTGGGTGGCTTGGTGAGGAGCAAGTGTCACAGAGGTGACCTGGACTCTCGGGCCCCGCTCGCTCCAGGAGTCGCTGACGCTGCACAGGCCTGGGGGCCGCATGGCCCACCTGCATGTGCTGGCTGTGCACCGCACCTTCCGGCAGCAGGGCAAGGGCTCCGTTCTGCTGTGGC